GTGGTTTAAGCAAGCAAATACGTATAGATATTTATACCCATTGTTAAACTATCACTAACAACATCATGGCATGATGTTTAAACTATGACTGTGGTCCCGTAAATAGTGATTGTTTTCTTGAAAAGCAAAAGGGAAGTGATTGTTTTCTTGAAAAGTGAAAGGGACAAAACGAACTGCAGGACATTTAGCTCCTCTATTTTCCTCTGCTGAGAAATAGAAACCCGCGCTAAGGGTCTTGCTGCACCACTCTCCACTCTCAGCCGGATTGGAGAGTCCGCAGAGAGCTGTCAGACTCCCATTTCCGCATCCTTTGGGTCATGGCTGCACTTACTCTCAAAGGCCCCACTCTCCATTTCGTGAGTGCACTATGAGACGCCTACACAACACTAAAATACTCTATGTCATCCACACGTTGACTGTCGAGGTCAGAGGCACGCTCTCCGATTCCAGTGCACCACAGAGACTCTCACGGAGGACCATCGAAAAAAGGCCGGTGCAGGTTCTCCAAGGTCTTTTTCCTCATCTATACGGATCGTGAGTGCACTATGAGACGCCTACACAGCACTACACATCACTAAAAGACAGGGCATCATCTGCACTTTGTTCCCGAGGTCGGAGGCCCGCTCTCAGATTCCAGTGCACCGCGGAGACTGCCACGGAAGACTATCCAAAAAAAAGGCCGTTGCAGGCTCACCGAGTTTTTTTCCCTCGTCCATTCGGAGAGTTTGAGCAGCGATGCAAAACTCTCCGAAATCATGAATCGGAGTAGTGCAGCGAGACCCTAAATTGCTCACCGATGCTTGGCCGAGGGATGATCACAAACTCCCACACACGAGCGATATGGATGCTTGGCCGAGGGATGATCACAAACTCCCACACACGAGCGATATGAATGTCACGCTGCTAAAAGCGCTTCTTAACAGCAACTGGCTCCCATCATACGGATGTTCGAGAAACAAAGGGCAGGGGGAAGCGGAGGGAGTAAGAACGCGGAGGGGGTTTGATTTTCCAACAGCAACGAAAGATTTTCTAGCTTGTCCTTCACAAACCGAAAAAGGGTGGGGACTGGGTACTCACATTTAGAAGTAGCAGTAGTCTCAGAACTAGCAAATATAAGTAGGGACTATAATAAATTAGAATGGGAAGGGGATGTAAGGCAGAACCTACCTGTCACTCGGTAGTTCGTGAGGCCTTTCCATCAGGTGGTCAGAAGAGCCTCGACATAGAGCTCAGGAAGTCCACAGCAGAGAATACTCGAGTGGTCGTCCAGTTTTATCTTCTGCATTTGTCTGCCAGGTTGGTCTGGTTTAAATGTGTCCTCGGTTACCGGGTTGAATTGTGAGGTCCCCGGCCTCGAACTCTTGATTACGTAATGAATTTGTGATTTAGCAAAAAAAACAAACAAAAAAACAAAACAAACCGAAAAAGAGAAAAAAAGTGCATCTGCATGGGCCTGTGAGGTTTCTAAGAGCGTGAACGATGATATCCAGGTGCATCTGCACATCCAGCGGGTGCATGTTTGAAAAGGACAAACGACACTACCCGGGTCAGATTGCATCTGCGCATCTGAACGAGCAGGTGCATTCTAAACGGGCTCGCTTCCTCACTCTGCTAATCTGAGCAAGCTGCGTTCTTTTTCCCTCTTTTCATCGTGCTCTTCCCTTTCGACATTCCACGGGAGCCCTTGACAGAATGCACCTGGAGCCACGTACGTCCAGGAACACTCTGACACGCTTTGCAGTGGACGTTTCCACTTTCCCACGACAATTGACCTCTAACTCGTCCCAACAAGACTTCCCGAACAGGACAGACACACACAGAGGGAAAAAAACGAGAGAGAGAGAGAGACAGAGCATAACAACGTACCCTTCGTCATTTGTGGAGCTTTGCTACGTGTGTGTGTGTGTGTGTAGAAAGAGAGAGAGAGAGAGAGAGAGAGAGAGAGAGAGAGAGAGAGAGAGAGAGAGAGAGAGAGCATAACAACGTACCCTTCGTCATTTGTGGAGCTTTGCTATGTGGAGAGAGAGAGAGAGAGAGAGAGAGAGAGAGGATAACAAGGTACCCTTCGTCATTTGTGGAGCTCTTCATTGTGCGAGGGACTTTTTTCTTCTTCTTCTTTTTTGTCGTTTCCAGGCTTCTTTTGATTAGCTGATGGTTTCAGGTGGTACTGATATGACTCTGGGATTCTTCGTCGTTCAAGCTGCGTTTTGGGCAACTTTCAGTCTAGATACAACGATAATGACCTTCGGCTGTAAGTACTTGGGTCTACGGTAATTTTGCGTTAGTCGGGCGCTTGGAGTTTGCACTAAGTAGCGTAGCTCGTTACCCCAGCGCGTTCGGCCGATCCCCATCGCCGGCCTCTGCAGGGATNGTCGGGCGCTTGGAGTTTGCACTAAGTAGCGTAGCTCGTTACCCCAGCGCGTTCGGCCGATCCCCATCGCCGGCCTCTGCAGGGATCTCGCTTGAGTCGTCGTAGTGGGTCGGTCAAAGACAGGCAGGACTACCATGGCCGGCCTCTGCAGGCGTCTCGCTGGAGTCGTCATCGCAGGTTGGTCAAAAACAGGCAAGACAGCACTGCGATGACGACTCCGGCCAGACCCCTGCAGAGGCCGGACTGCCTGTCTCTGACCGACCTGCGACGACGACAGCGAGACCCCTGCAGTGACCGGCCATGGTAGTCCTGCCTGTCTTTGAACGACCTGCGACGACGACTCAGGCGAGACCCCTGCAGAGGCCGGACATGACTATCTGCCGAAACGCTATGGGGGGTCTCATTGCCCAAAGCCCAGACCTACGCTCCTGCACTGCTTCGGCAATGGTGGATTGGCAGCCTTTATTTCCCGGCAGCGGCATGTTTTTTTTTTTAAACATTTTTTGGTCATTTCTTTCCGTGTTTCGAGAGATTTCAAAATCATTTTCTTCCGTTCCGCTCTCTTTTCTTCTTTCTTTCAATTTCTTTTTTCTTTCTTTTCTTCCTTGTTGCTTCTCTTTCTTTTTTTCCTTTTCATTTTTTTTTCTTCTTTCTTCTCTCTTCTTCCCTCTGTTTTCCTGCTTCTACCTTCTTCTATTTTGCTGATTTCTTCGTCCTCTCTTCTCTGCATTTCCTCTTTCTCGGCTTTCGACCCTTCGCGTGATTCCTTGCTTCTCGTGTTCTTTCTCTTTTCGGTCTCTTGTCGCTCCCTGGGCAGTGTGCTCAAATCAAAACGTTGTGTGTCAATTAGTGCGCCTATGGATCTGGAAATTAGTTAGCCAGATTTTCTTCAACGAGACTGACTGGATGGTTATTTTGTAAGGTATGATGCTAGCATTGACTGGTTGCTTATTTTGTAAGAGGTTCGGATGCTAGCTGCGCTGTATGTGATGTGGCCTACTCACAGATTTGCTTTTTTCTTTCTTCCAAAACAGAAAAGGGTGACGGCCTTTAGATATCATCATCATCGAACTGACCGGCTTATTCTCTTCGTCTGAAGGTATCTGGATTCGAACTGGTAGAGTCTGTACTTCAACAGATCGAACTGACCGGCTTATTCTCTTCATCTGAGCGCGACCACCAGAGACTCGGAGGAAAGAATGATGAGGAACTGCAAGGATGAGGAAAGTACGTGGGGAAGGCTAAGGACACAGGGTATAAATTTCGAGGACAGTGGCTGAAATGATTTCCTGAGCAGAGAGGTAGAAGGGTAATAGAGACGATGTTTTCGTCTCATGCCATGGACAGGACGTGTATTCTGTGAAGTAAAGCCTCGCACGTTTTGTTTATCATTGCAAGTGTGTATCTCTTCATCTGAAGGTATCTGGATTCGAACTGGAGTCTGTATTTCAACAGTTCAGGGGTGCACCAACTAAGTTAGCCCCGTTGGTGGACGCTTGCAGGTCTTTTGCTTCTTTCTTGTTTGCGGCATTTCTCGATTGGTGAGTGCCATCCATGAATGCGCAGCGGTCATGCTATTCTTCCACTCTGTGTATCGTTGCAATTTTAACGGCTCTGACGTCCGAAGGACACTTTACAGTAAATTTTTCGATTTATGCGTGTCATCCTTGCGCAGGGGCCATGCTAATCTTCTCTGTATCGTTCCAATTTTAACGGATGTCCCGAAGGACTACATTAAATTTTTGGTTCACTCTTGAACTTGCAACTGTTATAAATTTATAGCCAGATTGTCTTGCTAGCTCTCCGGTGAGGCGTGGGCCGATGCGGCTCGAGTCCAAACCGTACTTGCGATCATGCCGAAAGGGCACAATGAGTGCGAAATGGGCTGACTGACTGGTTTTATGGTTTTCCCCACAGTGGTTTTACCGGGCCTATCGCCGGCCCTGTTGACGCTTTCCCCTACTCAGTCTGCTATGACTGCCACGTTCCGGTAAGGAACGCGCCTGTCCGCATCTCTCTCTCTCTCTCTCTCTCTCTCTCTCTCTCTTGTTCTCTCCCCCCGAAGAAATCATCCGTTACATGCATCCTGGGGGCTGAGAGGACACTACCATCACGGAATAAGAGATGTACTGGCCTTCGACCTTCATTATCTACGGTCCGGATCTCTTATTCCGTGCTTAATGGAATCTATCCCCTAGACAGACAGTCTGTCTAGATTCACTCTCCTGATGAGCTGGTGAAAACCCCGACGAAGCTCTCCGTCCGAGCCAGGCTTTTTCTTTTCCTTTTGTTCTGGTGGTTTAGATAGCACGATCACACACACACACACACACACACCCAAAAAAAAAAAAAAAAAAAAAAAAAAAAAAAAAAAAAAAAAAAAAAAAAACACGCGCGTGCAGGCAGACACATACACGAAAGAAAAGGAAAGGAAAAGAGCGGCAACAAGCAGTGGCCAAAATATGTCATTCATACATGCTTCTCAAGCAAATCATCACAATCATAATAATAATCTTCTCTGCACTTCTTCAATTTTAAGGGCTGCGATGCCCTGATGTCCCCAAGTACCACCCATCTATCCATTCATCCATCCCCCGTCTCCATCCTATTTTTTCCCTACCAAACTTACCCGACTCGGCATCAAACTTGGACCACATTTTCTCCCGAAATTCATGATCCGCTCCGAAAAACCGCACCCAGACTCGCTCCCTCGTCCCATCGTCATCCTCTGCGAAGAGTACCGTCCCTCCGATCCCCGGAACCAGCAGCACAGGGACGCTGGGACCTTCATCCCCGCCGCCCGTTTCCGGATCCTCGTCCTTGTCACGCGTACCTGGCCAAGGCCAAGGCCAGGACCAGGACCAGAAGTGGGGGAATCTGTGCCATCCCAGGAACGCCAGAAACCTGGCCGCAAATCCCGATCCCGACGACTCAACGACCGCAGACGCCTTGGCGAGCGTTTTCCCACAACCGGTGCACGTGATATATCCACCAGTCCACGTGGACGGCAAGTGGGCCGCCGCCTTCTCGCACAAGCACCACGGGTACCACGTCGACGACGACGACGTGGATGCACACGTGGACAGCGCCGACGTGGATGGACTAGTGGCTGTGCACGTGGACGCGGACGATGATGCTGACGCACTCGAGGATGCACACGTGACTGAACCCGGGGGCGATGATGGCACAGATGTGGCGCTCATGGTTGCCGAGGACCTGCGCGTACCTGTGGCTGAACACGTGGACGACCACGTAGACGAGCTCATGGCCGGACACGTGGAACACGTGGACGACCACGTAGATGAGCTCAAGGCCGGACACGAGGAACACGTGGACGACAAGGCCGCTTTGCGATCCGTGTCTCGCTCTTCTTCGCCCGACAGGGGTGAAGATCGGTCATCTACCGGAGCGACTCTCATTTTCTCCCGCGCGACAACACTGTGTGACACAAGGAAAGACTCGACAACACTGGGTCCCACTTAACGACGAAACCGCAAGAAAGCCGACAGCACTTTTCTAAAGCAGCAAATCACGACCACCAAAGGGGCAAAACACACAAAAAAGGAAAGGAGCACAAAATATACAAGAAGAAGAAGAAGAAGAAGCAATAATGACTGACACTTGCTCACGAACACGAAGTATAATACTATAAAAGAATAAAATGTTCCTCAAACTCAATAGGCGCACAATCCTCGACGCGTCTGGACCGCTTGCGCTGCGGTCATCCTCAGGAGGCAAACTAGACCTTCAGATGACAACGGGCAGCTGTGGAGGGCACTGACTCATGGCAAACTCATGTGGGAATTACGTACTTTGACTGAATCTGGTCATTACTCGAGGGAGATTCACCGACGAAAGACGTACTGAGTATGCCCTAAAATACGCGCCCTGGCCTCGTGATGTTACACAGGCCGGTGCTCTGTTGTCACGTCGGGTGTGTATATGCTGGTTTCCTGTCGATCGGACAAGCACAGCGACGGAGAGATAGGGAGAGAGGAGGAGGGAGGGAGAAAACGCAGCGGGGCTCCCGATTTAGAATGAATCATGACGAGTCACTCCCAAGGTCTCTTTGTTGGCGTCTGATCTCTAATATACACAAAACTACTGGCAAACGCGGCAAAGGCAGGGAGACCCTATCTACGGCGAGGAAAGATGACACTTGTGGGTCAGATGAAACATAGACGATGGATCGACGGCGAGGAAAGATGACACTTGTGGGTCAGATGAAACATAGACGATGGATCGACGCTGAGGAAAGATTACACGCTGAGCTTTTCAAAGGCGCACGGCACAAATCTCTCTCTCTCTCTCTCTCTCTCTCTCTCTCTCTCTCTCTCTCTCTCTGTGTGTGCCCCCGGTAACTTACAAAAAGGTGGGAAAATTATTCTCACGCCGAACAGTATAAATAAAGCCTTCCCTGCTTAGCAGCCTGCCCACAGGGATGAGTCAACATATCAATTCAGACAGTAGATCGGAAAACGGGAAGCCTATAATATCAGCAGGTGCGTGCTCAGCCTTCGTCCGGACATGCTCTCCAGTCACACACACACACACACACACACACACACACATGCACACACACACGCACACACACACACACACGCACACGCACACACACACACACAAACACACACACACACACACAACAACAACAACAACAACAAAAAGGAACTGGCGCCAATCACAACTCACAAGGGGTTACATCTCAGATCGCTGATAAGATGCCGTAATATATGCTGATCGCAGCAGATTATGCACTAGCAAGACCGTCATCCAACCAGTAGGACGTCTGAGACACAGAGAAACCGAGAGTGGAGTGATGAACAAATACATGCGTATTCAACACGGTAGCGCGGGAAAGACGCGTATGCCAAACAGCGGCGCGATCAAGCGATCAAATATCGAAGAGCGTTGAAGCATTCCACAATTTGCAACGCCATCAAGCAATACAGAGCGCGCAATGGAGGCCCAAGAGTATTCTCTCTCTCTCTCTCTCTCTCTCTCTCTCTCTCTCTCTCTCTCTCTCTCTCTCTCTCTCTCTCTCTCTCTCTCTCTCTCTCTTTTCAACGCGCCCGTGAGTGGTCGGTCGTTAATGCGGGGTTGAGGGACAATCGTCGGCTGATCCGTACACGTGTCGGCCAATAGGAGCTCTGCAGCTTAGTGTGCCACGTGTCAGTCGTAAATTCAACTCCCGTTTCAATTGTCTATCAGCAGGCTCCCTACGCCTTTGTCAGTCATGGAGCTCCCACGTCCGCGTTGCTGATCTCAAGGTACCGTACGTGGTGTAGCTGGAGGCCTGTTGTCGGGATCCTCCACTCCTCCCCTGCACTGCCGCGTGGCCATCTAAAGAGATGCGCAACTAGCCGAGCCTATTTGTACGACTTGGGACCTCACCACACAGCATCCGAAAAGAAATCAAAAGAGACAGTCCCAACCAATGGGGTTCAGTTGGTGGTGTAACCATGAACTATTGACCTACAGACCTCAATTGGGATCCCAGTGAACTCAGAAGAGTGAAAAGAAAAAGAAAAACAAACCAGACAGTCCTGGCCAGCTTTAATTTTTTTCCTTTTTACTCCTTTTTTGCTTTTTACTAAGCTATATTCTTCTCTCAATTTCACCTTTCACTATCTACCTACCACTACTCCTAAGCCTATACAGGGGCACCCCTGCAAGCATATTCTTCTCTCTCTCTCTTTTTTTTTTTTTTTTTTTTTTTTTACATCAGATCATAGTTTGAGAGGGTCCAGGGGTCTGGTCCCACCTACGGCTGTTGAGTTTAGGAAACTCAACGGTGTGACGCCATGTCGACATTAATAAATTCGAAACAACAAATAAAAAAAACTGAAAAAAAAGCTAGAAACAGCTTTTTTCCTTATTTTTTATAACGTAATCCAGCGGCCTAACTCAGTTGGTAAGGCTCGCAAGTGGCATTCAGGAGGTCGTGGGTTCAATCCCCATTGGCCTCATGTACCTTCCTGGGCATGCTTGGCGCCCGCCACCTAGAGATAGACCGCTGGATCCCCCGATTGGCATTTAGCAGAGTCTGCTGATGTTCATAGGGGAGGGGACCTGAGGGGAGGCACAGGGATTGGTCCTGTTGGCATGGTCCGTGATGCTACCGGCTGTCCCCTAGCCGGTATCGCCCACCTTCAGGTCGGGAGCAGCCCCCGCATGTTCTCTCGTGAACACGGTTCTGGCTGCTACGGGGTTCCCCATATGCCTACAATTAGGAGTAGTGGTAGGTAGGTAGTGTGAGGTGAAATTGAGAGAAGAATATAGCT